TTTCCGCTTACTGACATTATGTGGCTAAGAAAAAAATTAATTACTTAAAAAATATTGTTAAATTTTGAACGGGGAACTACTATCAAAAAAATTCCTGTCCATTCCACATACATCATAAAGACTTGGTTCTTGCCTAGATCGATAGAGAAATGCGTGGAGAATATTTTCTACGAGAAAATATGCAAAAGATTTTTGTTCTTTCCTTCCTGTTATTGACTAATTAGTACTAATTAACGTTAATTTAGCCTACCATAAAGTTCCATTTGTAAAATAATGACTCAACGAAAGAATTCAAGCAATGCTTCATCCGATAGAGAATTTCACGAGCTACCAGATGGATTACCTTAAAAATTTTAGAATTCATTTTTTGCCGCTCGGTAAATCTGTTAAGTCGAAAATTTGACAATATTGTTTTAAGTAATTGGTTTTTTTCTCAGCCAGATGATGCCAATAAGCCAAAAAACTTCAGGACATACACTTCGAAGTATTCCCTACAAACTAGGAAGAGTTGACGACAAAATGCAAAACTTGAAAATATCGCTGATTTTTGGCTCAGCGAAGGTTTTTTCAACTCACCTTACGGCTGGTTTCGCTCGAACCAAGCATTTTGAAGCAAAACTCTGGGTATAAAATGTTCAGAATCGAATTCTGCGGCCTCCAACGAGAGGCTTTTTGAAATTGTCTTTTTTTGGCTTTCGAATTAAATTTTACGGTTTTTAAAGTTTTAAAATTTTATGTTTTTCAATTTAAAAACCAAAAAAAGAAAATTTTAAAAAAACTTCTCGTAAGTGAGGTTAAACAAATAAAATGAGATTAATTCTCGTTAAATGCACAAAGTAGTTACGTATACTTGTTCGTTTATGGTTATCCATCATGTCTGTATTTTCAGTTTCTTACCGTCTTAGAACTGCAGTCGTTCATTGGTCCTGATTTTGTCGTATAGTATGTTCAATATGACTGCTGTCATAGAACTGGGAAAGAAAAACGTTGTAAGAAGTTAGTATCCAAAAATGGTCGCCGATGATAATATTTTTTCTGTTCAGTTCAATGTTTGTTGAATACGAATTCATGCAATGGCTTTGAAGTTCAACAGATGTCATAGGATTCTGGAGATGAGCTTCGAGTATAGATTTTATATCAACTGAGCCCCCCCCCCCCCCCGGGGGGGGGGGGAGGGGGCCGCTGACTGGGTGGAGGGGGAGGGGAGTTTTTTNAAAAAAAAAATAAAAAAACTACCCCCCCCCCCCCCCCCCCTTGCGTGAGGGGAAGAGTACAGATTAGATGTTAGATGGATGATTCATTATGTCTTAATAAAAAGTTAAAAAAGGTAAAGCACCCAGAATAAGGAGAATCGGATTGAACTGAGGCACTTTTAAAAGCTGAAGGTGTTTGAAAAAACTTACTTGTCGACTCAGTGATGCCTGTCCTTCAGTGTGTGTGAGGCAAATGCCTCAAATAAGGAGGCATCAACTCTGACATGAAAGGAAGAAAAGGAACTTATCGATTTAAGATTTTAGCGTTGTGAATTATTGTAGCAGTGAATTGTATTGCACTGGTCTGCTAATAATTTTTAAAAATTTCAGAAATGGGGCGCGATTTTAACGGGAGAAATTGCATAAAATTGTTTATAGATCGCGTATAATTTTGGACTTGTTTTGCACAGTTAGTAATAGTGAATAATGTTTAGCTAACTGTGCCCTATCACTCTTGTAATGTTTATACTTGTGTCCAAAGCAGAAAGCTAAAGCGAAATTAATCAGATACCTGAGTATTCTTTCACATTATTTACCTTTTCGAAGTCAGATGGTCATCAGAGATGGGCGAGTACGAGTATACTCGAGTACAAAATTTTCAGTACTCGTACTCGAGACCTTTTTATACGAGTACTTAAAAATGTACTAGAGTATTTTCGAGTACTTGAAATTCCTTACTGGTATACTTTACAAAGAATTTTTGGCTGTGTGAATTTTTTTAATTGTTCCTGCAACATCCGCACCAATAGAAGGAATTTTTTCTCAAAGCGGCCTTATCATCCGCCCACATCGTACAAAGTTATCAGCATCAACGTTATGCATGTTAACATTTTTAAAATGCAATAATGATCTTCTAGAATAATGTTTCATTCTTCTGTATTCAGATAAAGTAAAACAAATAAATAATAAAAATTAAAATAAAAAAACTAATACTGGAAACTAACTCTTCTTCAACTGATAGCCAGAGAGATACTGAAAATGGCTATAGTTAGGCAACTAAAACTTTTTCATGAGTATTTTGGTCTTTTAAAAAGTTTTGTACTCAAGTACTTTTTGGAAAATACTCGTGTTCATACTCGACGCCCAGTACTCGTACTTGAGAATCTGTGTACCCGCCCATCTCTGATGGTCATGTTTAATCGGCTTTCTTCGGCAATACATGGGCAACTTAACTTTGGCTATAGCACCATTGTATTCAATTTGTTATCGTATGCAGTGCACAGTAAGGTTCCAGACTTATCTAAATATATTAGGTATGTTATTTTTACTTATCAGAATAATTGAAAACGAATGAAGTAAACTAATAGATGCTCATAGACTGAAGTTAGCACTGAAAATAGAGAGAAATTGTACGGCATTGTTTTCAAATGATAAAAATAAAATAAATAAGTGTAATTTTCGTATTTAAACACATTTAAAAAAAGTAATACCACTTCGTAATCCACTATGTTGACAAAACAATAAATAGATTTTCACTTTTTCCATGCTATTCTTGCAGGTGGTTCCATAGTGGGTTCGAGAATGGTGGAGTCTTTCAGCTGCAAGATGCTAATTATGGAAGTTGCATTGTTGACAGTAAAAGTCGTAAAATCAGCGTTTTCTGGAACATAAAATGTGTAAGGATTACTGTCGGAATATAACTACTTAACGTTGGATTCGATCTTCTTTAGCACTTGAAGACGGTCCTTTTCGTTCGAGATTAGTATGTGTCCAACAGGTTCGTATTCAGAGATTGTTGTATTGCTATCGAATAGAAAAATATTCTTTGTCCATGTTTTAGGGTTCGACAGGGAAAAGACATCTTGGAAATGAGTCTATTTCAAATTGTTTAACTTCTACAAAGTTACCACACTCATTCTGACCACTAGAACATCGTTTCGCTGTTGTGAATGAGAATAATTGTAACTCTAGATTTTTATTCTCTTTTAAGAGATGGACACCATTCACCTCCATTGCACTGTTAACGTCATGACATTTGTAACAATTATAGTTTACTGTTATCTGGAATAGTAAAACAATTTAGATACCATCCTGTAAAAGTTTATTGTTTTACACAGGTACAATCAAGTAACGTTGACCAGTTATGAACTTCATCTAACAAAAGTGTTTTCCCAGAGATCAAAAACTTATTCAAAAAACATATTCAAACGTAGTTTTTCTGGGGTTGTTTTTGACGGTTATGTCCGTTTGTGCGCTTATTGAGTTTCCGTGTGAATTTTTAGAAACCTGGCCTCTGAAGACCCAACACCAATCTGCGCATGACGAGATTCTGTATTTCAGTTTATTCAGTTATCTTTGTGAAAATATTTTCAGAACTGTCGGTCAAGTTTTAACCGGGTTATAAAAGTTTTACTTTTTATTTAAAGCAAAGCCTCAGCTTTTGTTTCAAAACATTTGCAGAGGAAAGAGAATTTAATAGGCGCACAAACAGACGTCAGAATCAATAGCGATCCCAGTAAACTAGGTCTGAAGAGGGAAGCTTTTGATCTATGGAAAAGCTCTCTTGGATTTGTTCTTACTATAGATATTTAGACTATGAGTAGATGGGTACTATTATGTATACGTTGACCTCATCGATATCGAATACATATGGCAACTAGTATCATACCTTGAATTCTAAAGACTGCTATTTTCGGTATGGTTGTCCTTACAATTTCTACAAATTCATCGAATGAATAAACATTGCAGCGATCTTCTGTAATGTTTTCTTGAGGTTTGTCCAGCAATGAAAATATGGCATTCATAAAATCAACGCCCAAAACAGTTATCTGAATAAATAGACGTTTGTTTACTGAGCGAAACACACTGTGAATACAATAATTTACCTTTTGATTAATTAACAAAATCGTTTGCCTCATGTAGACATCCTTCGTTTTGAATGGTAAAACAAACTTTTTACCATCTTCCACACAAACATACTTATTTGTATTACATAATGTAATAGAAGCATATTGATCATCATGTTTTTGATATACAGCAGATACTATACTACAGATACTCACCTATACATACAGTGGTATTGGACACACAAAACAATATTAGCTGCAGTTGCGTTCAAATTCAAATATTCCAAATATGAGTCGTTGTTTTTGTTTCTATCGGCTTGATTCTTGAATACAAATAAGACTTTTGGGAACTCACAAATACTCATTTTTAACAGCTGTATTGTATCATTGTCCTTACAATTTGGACATTCTCTATTTCGGTTCGATAAGACTAATATTTGAGTTATAAAATCACGATCAGTATGAACATCATAACCGTGTAATACATGGACTTTATGATTGATAACATTGTTGAAATTAATTCCACAAGTCTAACATGTTGCTTGGAGAACAACTGTCATTTGAACATTTGTGTTGATTATCGGAAGTATAAAATGTTCTATAAATTTCAGGAGATGAAAGACGCCTGTTTCATTTAAACTAGCAATATGTTTTCGAATGCCGATCATCACGGATTGAATTGCATCTTCTTTTACTGTGTTTGGATTCGTCATTTCACGCCGGAGAAGTGTGCATAAATCATCGAGATGGTCGGAAAGTATGATAGTCGGATCTATATATATCATATTTCTTTGCAGTACTTTCACAGTTATCGTTGCTCTCAATACAGAATTTTCTAGTCCATATATTTTATCCTTGTTTTGCCATACAGCCACTGTCTTCGTATCGCAATAAAACATAACTTCTGATATTTTCATTTTTATCAGATTTTCCATTGGTTTTGCGTACTGTCGATAATGACCTATTTTTTTTTCGACCATCTTTCAGTCAATTCTTTCAGACGCCGTGACCTAGTTGCACCAGCTAATTGAAGTCCAGCTTGCTTTTGAATCGCGATTGTATCATCACAGAGAAGACCAACGACTAAGTCCAATCTTTTTAATGTCTTTTTGTTCAGTGCCACATTTTTCACGAAAGACATACGTTTTTCTGATGTTCCCGTTGTACGTTGAATTTTAGCGATCTCTTGTCTTAACGTTCCAGCTGCAGTAACATTATCAATTGTACGGTATCGATCCAGATCTCCAAGTAATTTATTACTCCACAAATGGACAGTTGGCATGTACAGTTTGTTGAACCTCAGTATGCATCTCCCGTGCGGATTTAAATTTGTCTCATGCGCCTTTTGATCACTTTCTTCATCTTTGATCCTTTTTCTGCTTTTTGTAAATACATGCGTATCACTCGATTTGTTGTTACTGTTTTGTGATGCAACTGATGTCAGTTGCTTCCACACAGATCCATAAATTTGGTGCATATCAGTTTTAACATTAGAATCAAATTCATTGAGCATTTCTTCCTCCGAAAACCATGTCTGCACAGTTTGATTCATCTTTTTTATATCAACATCAATCTCTTCTTTGTCGATATCGTCAATATCATATTCGTCAATAACGTTTAACTGTAAATATTTTTCGTGATACGCAATCACATTATCTACATCATCTTCATTCATTTTTCCAAGGTTTCTTACAGCTGCATTTTACTTCTCTTTTGCAGCACGGTGCTGCGGTGTGCCTTCCGGATGAATAAAATAAACGCAAAATAACTCATAGTTCTTCTTTAATTCTTCGTAGGTATTTGAATTAAGAACAACAGAGCAATACAAGATAATGGATTTGACTTCCTCTTTTTTCAGTTTTGATTTATGGCATAGTATTTTCCAATCTTTCATGATATGCGCAGTGCATGCATGCGGAACTGTTTTTTGAGTGTCAGCATTGGCTCCGTATCCTGTTGAAGAGAAAAAGCTATCTTGATTACTATCTGAAGGTCTAGCAGAAAAGAAATAAAATTTTCTATCTTCCACAACATTATCTAAATGAACGACTAACTTCAACCATGTCGAATACGACTCAAGGCAAAGAAAAATAGTTTGTAAAGCATGAAGTAAAGAATAATTTGAGAATCAATAGTGGTTAACGGACAATGAGACAGAATTACGGTTTCTATAGAGAATGATGAAAATTATCAAACATTAACATTAACCTGTTAATATTCTATAAGCTCTTTCGTTGAACAACTGAAATGTTTCGTTGTTAAAAAAGGCTAGAGCTGACTGAATGAGTACTTGAGCACGATCGTTGATAATAATCTTAGGAGTTGGGAACGAATCTGTAGAATTGCACTGTTTCAAGTAGAATTGTTTGAATGTTTCAAGCCAAAGTTTAATAGTAACAGATAACTGCTTATGGATCGGAGCTTATGCGCTGAATGATTCCGGGAACAGGACAGTGAAGCATGAGTAGTTGCATATACTTTGCTTTTAAATCGAACAGTCTATTAACACAGTTACTGAACGAAGCGGATTCGTTAAATGCTGCAATTTTCTGATATACTGTTACACTTTTTCCAGCTTTTAAAATATTCCTTGGAATTTGCGCTAAACGTTTGTGAAATACTAGGGTTGGATTGGCTCCTTGTTCAAATGCTTCTTTCAATGCTTGTCGTTCTGGCTTACGAATGTGACGAGCTTTGAACTGCCCTTCATGAATAAGCGCACCATTTGTATTGATGAACGCGTCACCGTTCATGTGGATATCGACCGTAAACCGAAATGGACAATCCGGATTTTTCATGCCACAATAGCCAATAGTTCGTAATAAATGACCAGCAGAATTCTGTTTAGTAGCAACTGTAAACTTATTTGAATGTGTTTGTAAACTGCAGTACGGATTGATTGCCTTAACATATTGTATAACAATCTCTGATACCGTAAATAATGCTTCCATTAAAATATCTGTATCTCCCGAGCACACGTTTCCGCCTCCTGATTTGAATAGAGTTCCAAGTTCTGAGTATATAAGGTGAGTATTCGATAGAACTCGACGAGCTGATCAAGAATATCTGTATTTTAGCCTTAAAAAATTGTTTTTTGAAGGAAAAATCTTCAAAATACTAGCAGAATGGTCTTAAATTTCAAAAAACCGAAAAATAATCGGAAACAAAAACAAAAAATTTTAAATTTTTTTTCTTCTTCGTTCGTCTAACGTTTCGGAAGTATTTTTTCGGATTCAGCATTAAAAACTGAGTATGAGAACGATGCTTGATCGAGCTTGAAAGCATTGGATACATTGACCTGAAAAGATAAGATAATGATTAAAAAAATCACAATTGTT